GTTTTCGCATTGACCATTTCTCATTGATTTAAATGCCGAATGAAAAGCATTCCCGGAACTGCTACAAGCGCTCTCAATTGTAAATGACGGCCCCTTTAATTTCAAGTTATAGCTAAGACGGTGACCGTACATCGATTTAAGGTAACTGAAACATTTGTGATAAAAATTACTATTCTGCTTGCATAGGACTATTATCCGTTAACGATCTTTATATAGTAGGGTTGGCCATGATAATCAAGTGAGTTTGTTGGTATTCGATGCAGAAGAATAAATTTCCCTGAACTGTTTTCGTTAGGTTATGTTTTATTAAATTAAAGGTTAAAAAATATGCCAGAAATATAAACATTGTTGCCGACACTTTCAGTTTTCAGTAGCAATAACCAGGTTAACAGTATCCATTTCTCAGAAAGCATACAACTTTACGCTATTTAAAACAGCTCGGCTTTTTGTAAGTGCTTATTTCATATGTAAGGAAGAAACACTAAAATTTCACGTAAACATTCTTTTTATATGAATGGGGGTTCTACATACTGTATGGTACTGTAATGTTCATTTGGATTATTCGTTTTATTAATTAGACACTCATGTAGGTGATTCATGCTTTTTTTCTCACAAGTTTAAAGTTAGTCAACTAAACGAGTGAAAAAAATAGCTTTCAAAACGTGTTACACACGTCATTTTTTTTTAATAAAAAATGGCTTAAAATTATTACAACTGTCAAATTAAAAATTTATAGATTTATCATAATCAATGAAATCGTGAAAAAACTCTCGTTACGGTTTTAAATGAAAAAGTATTATTTTCATTACGTTTGATAGTTTAAAAAATTAAATATATATTTCTTTTTATAAATTTGGTGCAAAAAAAAATTCAATTTATATATTAACAATTAATCTTGGAGTTTACTGCATTCTTTGCAGAAAATTTTTTGGTCACTGCAAATTAGTTCTGGATTATCTTTAATCCATGATAAAACCAAAAATGTTTTTTCATTCAGAACTTTTTTGAACGCTCACACTGTGAATGAGGCGCTTGTTGATACGAAAGAATGAATAATTTATCTCATTCCCTTTGCTAAGTATCTACATAGCAATCTCCACTTTTACACCATTTGTGTAAACAAGATCGTAAAAAGATTAGTTTTGACCGCAAAGAATATACTCATACCGGAGGAAGTGCCAGACTTAAAATGATGGTTTTGAGCCAAACCGGTAAAGTGTCATAAACAGTACCCCTCATTACCCAGATAAGACTGCCGATGACAGTGACGTACAGTTTTTTTTTTTAAATGGCTCATGGAATAAACATTGTTGAATAAAATAACGGACATAACAGATTTATAATATATATTTATTAATATTATTTAAAATATTAAAATCAATCATCACGAATAACAAGTAATACAAACAGTGAATACCGTTAAAAAGTAGAAACAACCAGGATGACGACGCCACTGAGTAGTGGTTATTCGCAATGGCGTGACTAATTTTTAGTTTGGGAAGTTTGAAAAGTTTATTGAGGGGCATTTCACTCGGAAGGCCGACTATTCACTCAGAATTATTTGCCTAATCTGCCGGATGTAGGTGGGCAGATGTCAACTGCAGCTTTAATCTTCTCCAACCCATGTTGTAAATTTTTGTAGGATGCAAAGTGCGGAGAATAATAAAATCAGGTAGCAGCCCCTAGCAGGGTCATTCATGAAAAACTTTCAACCAATTATTTCTTCCTTTTTTATTGATCTAAGAGCTGTTTTACACGTCACAGAAATATCTATCGTAAAAGGAATTTTTAGAAATAATTTTCTCGTGATTAATCGGTTGCAAAAGATCAAGAGCAGTCGAGGCAAACGCTGACAAACTTATTAGCGGCGCCAGCGGAGATCTCCCACTGGCTGCGGTACCACCATGGACACTCGCGTAACCTCCTTTTCCAGAATTGTCAAAATGACATTGCCAAACTCAAAGCAATCATGGATTTAAGCATTTCATTTTAAATTCAATTAGTATCAAGTGGTACACGGTCTTCGTATTTTGGGTTGCGTAAAAATAATTTTCAGAAGTAATTTTCTCGTGACTAACCCTGTACATGTATTTTTTACACCCACATATGGTACAACTAAATTTTTCTTCAGTACAAAACTAGCCACATAATAATAATTAAAAAGTAAGTTTTTAGTTGCATAAGTAGGTACCTACATTTCTTAGATTTCCCGGTAACACAAAATTATTCTTGACGCTCTAACAAAAGTTTTTGCAATGTATATTTACAATACACGTAAACCTTTCTTAAACCCTGTAAAAGATCCGCTGCATTTTACAAGGGATTAAAATAAGTATTATATCCGTCCAGTGGAGTTTACATTCGCTGCATATGAATACTATAGATGTACTATTAGTTAATAAATTTTTTGTTTGGTGATATGTACGAGTATAAAGGCAAGAATAGACAATAGAGGCAATTCTGTTTTAAAATGTGTTAAAATTTAAAGGTTGGTAAAAATATGATTTTTTAAATAATTGTATAATTAATCTAGTTAAGAACAATAAACATTTTTTTTATGTTGAGTACTTATTATAATGAAGCTAGTTCCTATAATATAATAGGTAAAATAAGCAACGACATAAATAGTAACAATCTCTTAAAAAAAAAACCAAAATGACAATTTATTAATAATAAATCTTATGTAACAGGGTGTTTACGCTCGTATTTTTTAATTTTTAAAGTGCAAGTACAAACTTCGTCACTTATCTATATTTAAATTGTTTTTAATTCGATATTTACACCTTACCTGATTGCTAAATTTATTGCAACTTAAAATTCAGTATACAAAATATTTAGTTTTAACAAAAGAAAAGACTTCCCGATGAATTTTACCTTGCGACCAATTGACACTGCGATAAATTTACGTGCGATCAATTGTCGCTGCGATCAATTTACGTGCGATCAATTGTCGCCGCGATCAATTGTCGCGTGCCACCAATTGTCCTACGACGAGTTGTTTGCGACCAGTTGTCGTAGAATCGCAAAAAACATCTTTTTATTGCAATTGTTTGTTTTGTTTTTTAGGCATTTTCTTTTTAAATAATGTCGCAGTGATCTGTGAATCTGTCACAATGATAAATTATCTATCGGGCCAATTTCAAGTTGGTTTGCAATAATTAATTGCAAGCGCCGTTGCTATCGTGATCTCGTAGAACTCTTAATACAAACCATTATATTTTTGCGAGGTTACCTAGCAACGCAGCTTGCAATTAATTGCAAACCAACTTGAAATTGGCCCGTATGTTGACAAAGTTAAAACATTTGTTTGCTTGATTAAAAAATTGCGTCTGATAATTTTTATCTAATAAATGAAGTAGAAAAGTGGCATTCCAGCTCAAAGCAAATGTCAATCAGACTACTGACCGACGAAAAACTAAATCATCAAATCAGTTTATCCAACTTAAAGAAAAAATATCAAAGCCTACTTTATTATATAAAGATCGTGAATGGATAGAAAATTAGCCAAATACACTGACGTCATCCGAGGTCACCAAGATGGCAGCGTTTGACAACTAGCCGGTTTTCTCATAAGAGTCAATGCTAATATTTTCGGAATTCATTTAAATTTGGGAGTGTGTCAACTGTGTTTTTATAGTTTGGTAAGTTTGTTACAGTTTCTAGACTGTGTAGATATCTGTAAAACGCACCATAACGTTTGAATATCCTTAAAAAATAATGTTTTCCAATGTGATGTACAGGTTAACTTCGCTGCATTTTATATTATTTGTTTTGCAAATTAATTCTGTGTTAATGTACATCAATGTTTTTTAAATACACTAGCATCTTAATATTATACTATTTTGTATTTTAGGAGAAAATGCCTACATTTTGTGCTGTTGTGGGTTGCGCGAATAGAAGCACCAGAAATGCGGCCAAATTTTATTTTCCTTTCCCAGCAATTAGCAACAATAAAGGTAAATATATACAGGATGGGGAAAAAAGGCGGAAGCCTTGAAACGAGTGGATTTAACGAAGCCAAAGTAAAGTATTCCTATATTTGTTCGGATCATTTTATTTTAGGTACAATAACTACTTATTAGATTTACAGTTTCTAATAAATTACTACATTGGTGCTCTTTTAGGTAAACCTGCAGATTTGTCGGTTGTGGACCACCCTGATTATATTCCATCACAAAATTTAGGATATCAAAATAAATCCACTCAATATTTGTAATGCTGAAAGACACAGTCGTTTAAAAAAGAGAAAACTGAATAAATGGCTCTAGACTTTTGAATGCACGAATTTCAATGTGGGTTATTTTACTTATTCCAAAAATAAAAAAGTTTACAATGGTATTCATTGTTATGGTAGGGACATCGTCTAAACACAAATTAAAATCACTTGCACTCATTATATAAGGATCTACGCCGTTTAAATTGTTTAACTTTTGTACATATCTGCTTTTCTCTTTGACGGAAAGACATCGTGCATAATCACTTAAATTATCCATACTTTAAAAACAAATCACACACCTTCACTTAAACCCGTCACATTAACCTCAAACGAAAATATTAATTTCCGATTTACCGCTTAAAACACACGGATGTATTTTGGGCGACGAGGAATTTAGACCAAAACAGCGTTCTGTATTTTTATTTTTATTATGTATTTTTAAACTCAAATCGCCAAAAAAAAGCACCCTGATACACAGAAAAGATATGAAAGAAGCTATTCACGTGTTTATTTTCTAGATAAATACCCACACTTTTAAATAAAATGCGAAAATGTTAACATTGTCGCTTATGGAGTTTCACGGCGCTTGTCAAACGCTGAGTTCCCGCCACAGCGTGACGTCACGTGTTATTGGCTAATAGGTTCACAAGCTTTACGAAAATCTGTGATCCCCATTTAAAATTTAATGGAAGCTTTTTTGGACTAGTGATGCAACTCTCGGTTTCTTAGATACATACGTTTACAACATCTGTAGAAAAGTATTAAAGCAAAATAAAATTAAGTATAACATAAAACATATATTAAACAATAATATACCATCACAAAGCATCACAATAAAAAATATAACAAACAATAAACGAGAAATTTACTACAAAAAAGCTTAGTTTACTCAGTTTATAGTAAATACGAACTCTATATATTTAGGCACATTTTTATCATCATGTAATGGATAAGTTTTAAAATCGGTGTAATAATTAATCTCTTTAGTACTTAAAAACTGTACATCCTAAAACTATTAAAATTTAACACTGCAACTTGCTCCAACGGTTTTTTAACATAAATTAATTACAGGTACCTAAATAAATATATACTGATTGTTATTATGAATCTATTATGCAATGAGTTAAAAAGCACGGAGTAATTCGGTAAATTTGCATGTACAATTTTGTGATGTGCTATAGTGTTACCTCAAACTGTATGACTTTTCATCAAATCCGTTGCATAATTTTTTTCCGACAAAATTTTCACTAAACAAGAACAAAAATCAACATTTTTTGTGCAATTTCACAATACTACTTAGAAGAACCCTACACTAAGACACATAACTCTCCTTAAAAAGGCCCATCTTCTGATGTAGTTTTTTTGTAAAACTGCCTCGAAAATCCAGCTGGAGAATTATCAAACAGTCCAAACCAATGCCTTTGATAAGCATAGATGAGAAACAGCACTACAGGGATGGTTATCAAAACTCCAGCCAAAATTCCGACTAATAAAGCACCATCTCGCTCCGGTCTGTGCCCATACAAATCTAAACATCTCATCGTAGTTTCTTTCTTGTAGACATCATAAAAGGTTAAAGCAACCATTTCGATGGGAGCTCCACATCTGAAAGAAAATAATTTAACACAAAGTAATAAGCTACCAACATATACCTCAATCGTTTGGCTTTCTGGTCGTCAAGTCTCAGATAAATTGGCATCAGCTCATCGACTATCCACTGGTTTTCGCACTCACAAGTCCATGGATTGTTTGTTAGATCTAGCTCTGTAAGATCTTTCCACTGTAGAATGAGTTGCATGTCAATGTAAGATAATTTGTTATCTTGCAAATAAAGCTAAAACACAAAATTTTATTTTTAATTTTTGGGGAAGGTTTAGTTTATCTACTTTTTTGATTGATGGCCAGGTTTCATACTCCGCACCATCCCGTTTGGCTGATAAGGCATCCTTATCAATGTGTGTCAATTCCGGATTATCATAACAAAATAGTTCTTCTAAATTTTCTAAGTTGCTTAGTGCCCTACTAGTGATATTTAATAGTTTTCTCATACCGCTGAGGTGAAGAATTTTCAGAGTTGGAATTTTGGGAAAGCCACTACAATTTTCTTATAAACATGAATCTAAAATCGTGTTTGTACTCACTTTTCTTCCGCCAAACTCACAATGGGATTGTTGTTGAAGTAAAGAACTGACAAACTATGTGAATCTCCTAGTGTTTTAGGGATTCTGTTGAACTGATTGCCACTGAGATCAAGTTTTTCCAAATACCTTGGAGTGTGTAAAAACGCGTCAGGAAGCGACGATAACCCGGTATAGCTTAAATCCAAATGCTAAAAATAAAAAATTACGAACTTGTCTTTACTACAATGAAATTGACAACTTTCAAAAAGACTAAACCGGTGATGGCCACCAGCGTTTGTTGGTCGATTTTATCCAAAGGGTTGTGTGAAATAGTTAGAATCTCAACATTAGGCGTGTGTTCAAAAACGTCTTGGTTTAAGCTGCTAATCCTGTTGTGGTCCAAGTGAAGATTTTTCAAAGATTTGAGGGGTCTGAATTCATTTATCAAATACTGGCCCTACAAATTTTTTTGTGATTGTGTTGAAAACAATGTAAGTAGTAAATTTACATCAAAAGCGTCGGGATGTATCTGTTCAATGTTATTGTAGCTCAAATCCAAGGTTATCATATCTTGCAAGTTGCTAAAAATGGAATCAGTTATGTTGACTATGGAGTTGTTGGCCAGGCTCAGGTAGCTAACATTAGAGATGGGAAATTTTTTGTCCAGTGTTAAAATTGGCATGTTGTGAACTAGCAACGCTTTATAGGGAAAGGTTTTATTTGTGCTGTCTATCCAAGATGACTCCTGGAATAGTTTATCTCTGACATCTTGATCGCACGTGACTTCGAATTTGGTTTGTTCGACAGTTTTGCAGCTACATGGAGGACAGAATGGAGGTTTGCTTTGGGCAAGACAGTGTCCTATTAATATGGAAAATACGAGATAGACATACATCCTGAAAAAAAGTTAACACTTGTTAATAATGGAACCTTTGATCAACGCTTAAGTAGAATACAAAAAAATTAGTCGAAAGTTATTCCGACAGAACTTCCCTCGCCCTTGAGTACAAGTCCACTTTTCCAAAAATCATTTGATTAAAGAAATACAGTTGCAAATTTTGGAATGACGTCAACCCATTGGTAATGGGATGATCAAACAACATTACCATCTACGCGCTAATCTTAATACACGTATATAATTTGATAACAATTGGGGCGGTCATTCTGTCTAATAAAAACTGACACGGACGACAGAGAGACGGAAAACGGAGATCACTTTTTTCGTATTCTAGAGGTTTTCAAATGTCGAGAAAACATGGAAGGTACAAATCGCCCGATGGACTCGATTACTATACTTCCTTACTTTAGGCTCAGGAAGTCATTCACATGTATATTTGTAATATCCTTCGTCGGAAATGATAATGACACAGGTGATAAACTTAGAAATTCAGTTTTAAAATTCTTGATTTAATCAATAAAATAAATTGACTCAGTTATTAATTTTTTTGAGACAACCCATACAAGCAAATCTAAAAAAAATATTAATGCAGTGATAAATCACAAGTATTGACTCATAATACACATATACCTTTATTTTATAATAATAAAAAGTTTAAAGCAAATTATTGTACTTGAGTTTCAGTATCTACACAGAGATCAAGTCGGTTTGAGCTTGTCATTTCAAAACAAATGAACGAATAATTTGTTGACATTTGTAAGAGTCTGTTGAAATGTGACTTCCGTTTATCCGTAACAAATATAAAATGGAAAAAGTGGACTTCGCACTCATTCTGAAATAAGGGAAGAGGCAGCAACTATTGTACATAATCTCTTGCGCGAAAAATAGAAGAATGTTTATATGAAATGTAGGCAACCCAAAATACGATATTTATTCTTTACGTCTAGAGATAGGAGAGAAATGTAGCTTCACAGTTCGGAAGCACGTTCTCAGGCTAGCAGAGACAAAATATAATTAATCTTATACTAATTTTCGGTGCAAATTCGCCCTTATTTAACTAAAACGTCTGATTCATCTGATATCCGTTGGATAATTTTTGCAATATGTAAAACTCGGTCAAATTTTTATTAACCCATAGCAAAAGCTGTTGGGTCAGCTTATCAATTTATCAAAACATATCCGGCATATGTTCAGTAAATGGTGGGGTTTTGAAAGGATTTATTGTTGGTGTATCTACCCTTCCTTTTTTCAGTTTTTATCGCAGACATACCTACAACATGCATATCGACTTTTTATAAGCTATACATGTTTATTGTTGGTACTTTAATTAAACTTCAAGTTGCTTTTCAGAAAATTAACTTTGATTTGTCCTAAATACCGGATGATTATTTTGAAATTCTGCTCTAGTTACTCATAAGCATAAGGCTCACTATTTTCAACAATTTTTGTAAAATAAGTGTGATGTTCATGATTTAAATTGTTGTGAATAAAAGATTTTGTATGATTTTTTGAACATTTCAAATCTTGATGTCGCTAGCGTTGACTTAACGAACTTTTTCGAAATGACGTTGGATATTCAGGCAACCCAAAATACACCCTTCAAGTTCAATTTACCCAACACGTTTCTTTGCTGACGTAAGCGTGCTGGGAGTCCTGTGTAATTAAAGCATAAATTTAAAAAATCACTCGGTATAAGAATTGACTAACTGCAGTATGTTTTGACCCATAACTTACTTTTCGCAAATTTACTTGGACATGGAATCGATTAATGAACTAAACTGAGTTGCTACATTTGATTAACTTTTTTGAGTTCAGAAAATATGCTTTACAAATGAGTCGCAGGTGAAATTTTTTCTATTACAATAGAAGGAATCTATAGATTATTTTTCGTCGGACAATATGTTGAAACACCGATTACAATCAAAGAGTCAACATCAGTTACACCTCAATCTATGATTCATGTTGTCGTTATCAAAACAAGCCATAAAAACAGTGTCGAAGCGGGACCCCTAATGAATATTTACCATGTTTAAAGTCGCCAACCTTAAAAGTAGAATGAACATAATTATTTTTGTATTTTTAAAACAAAAATATAACAGATGAGTTCCTTAAACACAAAAATAAAAAGAAACAAATTATTGTCGACTTTACATTCTCGAAAAAAAAATCCCTTTATGATCCTTTAACAATAACTAAAATATCATCTACTTGAAAGAAAACTCGTTACTCTTTCCAAAATTGTATACTTGTACTTATTAAATATTTCGAAATCAACTTTCCCAGAATTAGGTTCGGCGTCGCGTCGTGTCCTTATCTAAAGATAATAATTTAATCTATGATATATAGTTTTGATATTTGCCACACCTTGCCAATTACTTTGTTTTGTACAGCTCTTTTATCATCAAATAAAAATATTCCTGCTGTTTACGCAACATATGAAAGGTATGAAATTCGTTAATGTGTTAACATCTCGTTATTACATCTCAGAAACAAAACAAGAAAGTATGAAATTCACTAGAACTCACCTGAATTTTTATTTTGATAATATTCCACTACTTGAACATTACAAAGTACTATTTGTTAAAAATAGTAATCTGTATAGCACGGTATTCAGCTGTTGACTAAACTCTAATATTACGTTTATCTTATCTATCGCAAACATATCGTCACCGGGTATTCGGTGAAAACAGGTGAATAATCTTAATTTCCATGGTGAGGACAGAATTGGTGTCCGATAATATTAGATAGCAATTATTGATAAAGAATGATATTTCTAGATTTAACTAAATTTGAATGTCTACATTCCTAACTACTTATGTATACCACCTATTATTTGCATTGATGTTCTGGTCATAATTAATGGCCTACTTTTTAGATGCATAATGTGTAGTCTAATGCAGTGTATGTTATGAAATGTACGTATGTTTAATAGTTATTTATGCGTCAAGAGAATAAACTGTCACATTAATCCCGAGTTCTGTAATCTTCAATCGAGGGATTAAAAAGTTTATTTCAGAGATGTATAAAAAATTTTCCTCCCAACCGGTTAAATTAACAATAAATTACAAACGAAAATGATGATTGGGCGTTACGGATATAGAATGGGCACGTATTTGTTATGTATCAAAAAACACTAGAAATATTCAATTGTATCTATTTAATTTTATGAACAAAATCATTCAAAAAAGGAAAAAATGAAAATTGGAGAAGAGTTTGATATACTTTTAGCCATTACTGCAAGAGCTAAAGATGTAACGTCCAATTTGCTTCCGGAGAAATCGAAAAATGTGTATAGAAAGGCTTGGCAATAATTCTTGAAGTGGTGTGAGGAGAATGGTATTAAGAATGTTTCTTCTGAAAATGTGTTGCTGGCTCATTTTTCTGATATTCTGAATCCTATAAAGCCTCATCGCTCTGGTCGTACTATTCGAAAATTGAATCGAATTGACTTATTCATCATTCTGTGGACATCAGTAAATTTTCAAAATTGATAAATTTCTGAAAGAAATGCGGAAGGCTGTAGAGCAAAGAAGTCAAAAATTCTTAGCAAGAATTCCTATTCATCGGATGGTACAACAACTGGTTTGTAATTGTAAGGGACCTCTTCGACGGCCAAAATTTTTGTAACGCATGATTTAACGAAAGCTTCAGCGATATGTGCAGCGACTGGATAGATGATGACCACAAAGACTAAATTGGACCCAACTAGGCCCAACTGAAAACAGCTTTAAACAAGGGGGATGTTACGAACTCGCAATTTACAATCCATTCGCGACGACTAAGATCATCGAAATTGACAGATGCATAAATGATAGTAAAATGGGTTATTTTCTTCCACAGGACAATAGATTTCAAATAACTGTATGGAACGCACGTGATCTTACAGTTCATTTAAAAGTAGAATAAAACAAAAAATATTAAGGTTGAAAATACTTATTTATTAAATTGAAAGCTGCAACGGTGGTTTTATAATTCCATTAACAGCTTGAACAAGATCTTGGTTGTTTAAAATTGTTACATGGTCACCATCTATTGTAATTACTTGTGCTAGATTCTCGCTTATGTCTGATAATTGATAATCATCTCTGTCTCCAACCACAGCTAATCTTGCCTTGACCAGATGTACTGACGATATGATTTTCTTATTTTTAAATGTATAGTTAAACATAGCGTTACAACGCTTATACACGGTGATAGCTGCTTGTTTTTCTAGCTTGTTACTCATTTTCGAAGGTATCAAAGATGTAAGTAAATTGATTCCTTGTTCTAAACGTTTGGAATTTAGCAACGTTTCCTAAATAAATAGATCCGAACTGTAGACGTACAAATGTAAATAAATCGATTAATAATTACCTCATGCTGCGAAAATACATCCAATGGAATCATAAAAGAGATTTTACTCAAAAATGCAGTATGGAAGTCAGTTTTTTCTTTTTCTTGAGTAAAGAGTTTTTTTACAAAAGAATTTATATATTTTGGTGAACCGTCGATTAAAATTATGGTACCAATATATCCCTTTTCTTCTAACAAACTAATAATTTCTAAACCGACCAGAGTTCCAAATGAATATCCAATGAGGAAAAACGGATTATTTCTGGACAAATAAATTTCGATGTGCTAAAAGATGTATAAAATACAGTACCATTAAAACATTAAAATTTTAGCAAACCGGTAAGGCATTCTTCGCAATTTCTTCAATGCTCTCTTCTGGATTTTTATAATTGTATTGTACTCCAATTACATGCGCGTTTAGAGAATTTGTTAAATATTCTAGTGGTTTCAAAAGGCCTTCAACTCCTGGTAGCACGAACACGATTGGAGCTCCTCCAGATAATCCCACTCGACTGTTTAATCTAACAGCAGCAAGCTGACTATTTTCGATGTTACGAATATACTCAATGAGAAAATTTGTGTTTTCATGTGTCTTGTCGCATGTAGTATTCCCAGACCTATTAATTTTCTCTGCCTCCATTTCGGTCAGTCTAAAATAATTTAAAAATAATTAAGGACGTTTTCCCAATAAGATAAAAATTGCCTCGCAAATGTTAAACTTCTCACATCTTTAGATGTTACGTAAATTTCAAAATCTTTTTCTAGAAGTTGAACAATTTCTGTATTCATCATCGAGTCCATACCGAGCTCTGGAAATGTCGTATACTGACTTATAGTTTTCATGTTTTTTATGCCAATAACATGAGCAACAGCTGCGACTGCACTAGGATTGTCACTTTTGTGATATTTTTCAGCTACCACCGTACTAGAAACCACTGGATATTCATGCTTTATCAGCACATCTAACACCTCAAGACAACTTGAAATTTTTTGTTGGAGTGTACCACCAATCACCAACTCTTCATTTTCTTCATACATCCTCGCTAACAAACCAACCTTTAAAGTACTTGCAGTCTTAAAAACTTAAAAAAATGTGTTAACTACTTCACCGATTGCACCACACTGGATAGCTAAAGCTGGTAATCCATCACGCTTTCGATTTTCACATATTCTTTCCATAACAGAGTTTGCCATACCATAGTTGCTTTGACCTACATGACCACGACCACAAGATAAAGAAGAAAATACAACGAAGTACTTTAGCTGTGGACATAATTTCCTGGTTACTCGATCCAAGTGTAGTGTAGCGTAAGCTTTCGGCTCTAACACAGCATGAAAATTTTCTTCGGTTTGATTTTTAAATAGTGCGATTTTAAGTACAACAGCCAAGTTAAATATGCCATCAACAGATCCCAGTGTACTTGCTTCTTTGATTAAATTTTCACATCCTGCCTCGGTTGTCACATCGTCTGTAGAGACTTTGACTTCAACACCGTACGAAATCCAAATACTAAAATTGTTAGATAAAACCTTTACTGCGAAAACGCAAGGCATTTTACTTAATTCTTTGTTGGTGGTAACCATTTTGAATACCCGATCTTGAAGTGAGTACTAGTTTTCTGGCACCTCGCAGAACCAACCAATCGCTTAATTCTAAACCAAATCCTCCAAGACCTCCAATAATGATATAAGTGAAATGCCTGCCACATTGGAATCTTAAAGAAATAATACCAGTAATCAATCTATTTAACAGATTGTGTTTATGTTTTAAAATAATTGGTACTCGGCATATATAACGGTAGGAAATTTTAGTGTATATAAAATTTTTGTTTAGTTATTAGAATATTCGGCAGTGAATAATGTTCTCACTAATAACTTACCTTGGATTTGACACAATTTCTAATTTATTTATATTGCAAGTACGAATCTGATTATCTTTGTTTTCATTTCGCAACTTGATTAGGATTTTGCCAATGTGTTTGCCTGCCAACATGTATTTGTACGATTTCTCTATCTCGTCTGCGTTGAACACAATTCTAGGCAGCGGTTTTACGAAACCTGATTTTATTCCCTCTCTCAAGTGTTTTACCACTTTGGACTTCATTTCCTTAACATTCCTAAAAACATCATCTAAGAATATACCATGATAGGTGGCTTCTCTTTCCATAAACAAAGAATTGAAAGAATTATCATTAGCTAAGTCGTATTTCCCAATTTCCATAAGTTGTCCACCTCGTGCTAAACACCTAATGGAAGCATGCAACTTATCCTCGCTTAACGAGTTTAAAATGAAGTCAACTCCTCGACTCTTAGTTTCTCTTTTGATCATGAGTTCAAATGAGGTGTCTCGAGAATGTCCCATATGCCTGTCCGAAATTTGTGGATAATTTTTCCTTAAATACTCTCTTTTTTCCTGAGTGCCGACGGTTACATAAATGTCGCATCCATAGTGAAGAGAAAGATTCAAAGCAGCTAGTCCAATACCGCCAGTAGCGGAATGAATGAGAATTGTTGAACCTGGTTTCATATTTCCAACCTTAAAAAAAATCATTGGAAAGACGAAGTTTTTTTATAAACATACCATTAAAAGAGCGTAAATAACAGTGGAATACACAACAGGAACCGTTGCTGCATCTTCAAGTGACCACGAGTCTGGAACTCCCCAGGCCAAGGAAGAATCACAAGTAACGTAAGACGAAATGCCTTGAGCATTGATCATTCCAGATAATCTACGGCCACTTAAATCAACTCCTGAAAATTCAAATCCTATTAGACATTCTTGACCAAGTCGATGAGGGTCTAAAATTTCTGGAGTTATGCGCCCAGTAGATGCCATAATATCTTTGAAGTTGATTGACGAATAATATGTCTACAAACTATAGTTATTTATAACATAACGGACATGCTAGTAACGTACTGAAATCAAGAGTTGCTCTTTTTTCAATGGTACTTGTTTAGTTAAAGCTCCCTCTGACCATTCGAAACTAGACATATCTCCTCTAGTTTTGAAATAGGCATAGGTATCGTCACAAATAATTTTCGGGCTTTCTTCCAAAAGCAGATGTCGATATGTTCCCCAAGATTTATTCTTATAAATGTTTATAGCCAAATTTTTACTAATTTGTTTACAATAAAATGAATGTTGAGGATCAAATTCGGGAGCCTCGTCCATCATGAAAAAACACTGAACCATGGTTTGACTTCTTTCTCGCCTGATGCAGTTTATCAAACCCAATATTCCTTCAGGAACTTGGTTTGTTGCATAAACTATGATGTTATTCCCGTGATTTAAAAAGTTTTGTAATTCAGGCAACCAGTCGAAATTATATGAAGATATTTCGATAAACTTGGATTTCCCAATTTTCAACTTTTTCCTAAATAAAATAATTCTTTCATTTGGAGTTACATAATCAGTGAGAATTTCGATTTGATTGATATGTTTTTCTAGCTTGAAGTTGATATCTTCTCGTGTTAAAATAAATCCGTTTTTGCTAAGAGGTGTTAAAAATTGTTGTAGATTGTCAGATTTTTGGAGAATCTTGCTACCAATGTACAAAAGTATGTTACTTTCTGACGTTAAGGTAACACTTTCGAATTTTATGCCAAGTGCTTCATCTACAGTGGTTTTTGACGAAATGGTTAGATCAGGAGTCACCAATGGAAGATCTACAAGGGCTTTATTTACAAAGCCTAATATACATTCAGCGTTTTAATCCGTAAATTTGTTGATGATTTCCACAGCTTTAAACGTACTTTCTAAAGTATTTTCTAAAATAATTTGGGTGTTGATTCTCACTACATCATCTAAATCCAGTGATAAATTATTTGGGACAAAAACATGTTTTTCTAAAACTGTTTCGATCCACAGTTTTTTCTTGAAAACGGATTTGACTTGCAGTCCATGTATTTCAATTCCACCAGATCTAAAATTTATACCATCTATTTATATGTAATACTAAACAATTATTTCATTACTTGATTATGTTACAGTCCTCGTTTATATAAACAGGTAAAAGTCGTTCTTCCCCATCCTGACTTTTCACAATACCCATATGTTTTAAAGGATCGATGATAATTTTCTTGATACCAACAGGAACGTAAAGCAATCTTGTGTCAATACCAAGGATTTTCATTTGAAGCATATTATCCATAAACGTACACCAATTGTCTTTCCACCCAATCACACCCATAGAAGCTTTTATGTTGCATCGTTTTATGGCTTTGAACAAACCACTGAAAGAAATTGAAATAAACTACAACTTATTTTGATCAAACCTACCTATAATTGTAACCTCTTAGGCAAAGTTCTCGATAAATTTCGTCTTGTTCCAAATTTTCTAATTGATCGTTACTGAATGAAGTCAAATGTGGCAAGTCAATTTGTTGCTGGTTTGCATTTGGACAAGTTTGGATACGACCACTGACCAACAGAGATTTGTTTTCAAGAATTTCGAAATTACCTGTTCCTTTTTGAATCGTTATAAGCAGTTTTACGTAACCGCTCCTAGGCACTGTAAGAGCTCTGGCAAATTTACAGTTTTCAAATAAAACAGGAATTTCGGTGACTAATAATTTTCGATTCCGTGCATATATTTGCCAAACTAAATTTAGATATTCAGTGGCAGGGAAAATGTTGCGTCCTAAATTATTTACCTTACTGTTAACCTATGTTTTTGATTTGTCCAAGTTTCTTACCATCAACAACGTGACCTTTTAGAAATTGTTGTGCCTCGTTTACAACTGAATATCTATATTCAGACTGCTCAGTATTAATTGATTTGAATTCACTAAATTTGTACGTATACCAAGATTTTTTGTGGTCCCATTGAAGAGAAGGTGAAATCATGGAGGTGCCTCTACTAACAGGGAACTTTACTGTAGGGTAAAGTTTGTCAACTTGGGGAAGGTAACCTTCGGTGTATAATCTGGAAACTGATACTACAGTCTTGAATTTTCAGTGGCGATAAATATTTACGTTCCCAACAGAACCAGCAAATTGATATCAGCGTTTTCTCCAACTAAATTGTTTTCACCATTGTGAGGCAAGTCAGAAATATTTAATGTTAAAGTGGGTTTAGATGGATCAACATTATTTTCATAACCATCGCCCATCAACTCTTTGAGTTTAGAATCAACTCTATTTGGTATATTTTTTTTGCTAAATTTGATCGCTGCTGACACTGCATCTTCCAGTTTCATAACATTGTAATTGTAAGCAACAACGATTTTCCCAAAAGAGTCACCGAACAAACCAGTAGGTGACAACTGTAACATTTTTAAAATATCTACAACGATTAGTTGCAAATATATTGACCCTAAAACGTCTTCAATTGGTTCTGTGGTACTATTTAAAATCTCATGAAACGATTTCACGTTGTTGAACATCAAAATTTCATTAATTCTTTTACCAAGAAAGAAAACTAGATCTTAGTTATTGGTCCTGAATTAAAATCTGAACTCACCTTGCTTCGACATCTTTGAAGATTGAAAACTTCCTCAAATAATAGGCGATCGTGCGAAATTTATTGGCAAATGGCCCAAAGAATACGTGAAAGCTTGGACGTTGAGTAGGTAATAATTTCGACGACATCGATACAACTCCACCTTTTGAGACGATTGCATATCCTCGTTATCGATGATTTGGAAAATTCACTTTATACAACTGATGAAGGAGACTAATATATTCTTCGTCTAGGTTTTTGGATGAAACATCGTTTAACATTTTTAAAACTGCCTCATTGGTTCGACCGCTGACACAAACTAATCTAGGGACATCGTCTTTCGGCAGTCCACCTTCGATTTTACCTTTTTTAAATCTTTGTAATAAAATGTGACAGATGTTGCCTCCAAAACCAAAGTTGTTAAGACTTATAACAGCTTCATGGTCTAGAAGTTTAGTAGTTTCTGTCACAATTTTTATTCTGTTTTGTTCAATTCCCTCCACTCCCTTTTTAATTCTTTTCAAATGTATATTAGGTGGTATAAATCCGGTTTCCATTGAAATCAGTACTTTGATAATTGAACAAATTCCTGATGCAGCTTCTGCATGACCCATATTTGATTTTAATGAACCCAGGAGAAGTTGTCTTTCGCATTTATTTGCCAAAGCTCGGTCAATAGCTTTCACTTCTTCAGGATCATCAGCTTTAGTACCAGTGCCATGGGCTTCAAAGTAACTCACATTTGAAAAAGTAATATTACTTTCTTGATATATCTCTGTCAAAAGCTTTGCTTGCATTTCTGAGGAAGGAAATGTAATTCCCTCCTTTTTAAACCCGTCACAGCTCACTTTTGCATGAATAATTTTTGCATAAACTCTTTTCGCACACTTAGATTTTTGAAGAAAAAGACATGCACAAGCTTCGCTTCTAACGTAGCCGTTAGCATTCTGGTCGAATACTTTACAAGCACCGTCATTACCTAAGGCTCCTAGGCTAAAAATAAGCTACTATAAAACAACAACTATTTACTTAGTGAAATAACTGTACTCGAAATATTGAATTGTAGTTGTAGGATGTAATGTTAAATTACAGGCAGCAACTATTGCGTTTTCGCATTCACCATTTCTCATTGATTTAAATGCCGTGTGAAAAGCATTCCCAGAACTGCTGCAAGCGCTCTCAACTGTAAATGACGGTCCCTTTAATTTCAAGTTATAGCTGAGACGGTGAGCGTACATCGATTTAAGGTAACTGAAACAGATACATTTGTGATAAAAATTACTATTCTGCTGCATAGGACTGTTCATTCTCAACCAACACGTCTACAGTACGAAAATTCTATGAAAATCAGATAGCTCGTCCAGTAATAACACAAAATCAAGATGGAATACTATTTCAGATGAGACAAAGGGCAGAAACTATAATAAACGGTGACGCAACACCCCCTGAGGATAAGAGGTGTTGATATTTGGGTGTATAAAAGTATTGTTAAAAATATTCTTAAAAAAAAAGTTTGTACAATCTCGACTCATTTAGTATCTATTTGAAAACGTATGTATGATTTATTTACATAGTCTTGTTTAATATGTTTAATGTATTGTGTGTTAATTTATTGTGGCATGTCGAAATTTTGTGATGAAATCACCGATAAATAAAGTTATTATTAGGCCAGGGCCGAAGCCTTCGAAAATCGTAAAATTGAAAAAAAATTAGAAGAGGTTGATATCCATTGGAGAAGGATGAAAATATAACAAAAATTAAAGGAAAATTGATTTATGGGCAATCTTAGGTCGGGAAGTGGAAGGGGGTGAACTTTTAAGGGTAGAAAACGGTTTATCACTATTTCCGGCAAAACTACAAGTTCTATCATAAAAAGTTAAATGGCAAAGTTGTAGGTAATATGAATTTGCAATTTTTTAATTTATCAATGAAATACGCAATCTTACTTTTTTCGAGTAATTAAAGAGTAAATTTTAATAAATAGCTCAAAATTTTACATGATGATTAACAAAAATTTTCGTTTTTACTTCCCGAGCGTAAGCAAAGGAAGTATTGTAATCGAGTCCGTCGGCCGACTCTCTACTTTTACGTTTTCTCGATCTTTCATGACCCCTAGAAGACGAAGAAATAGATCTCCCGTTTCCGTCTGTCTGTCCGTCTGTCCGTCTGTCCGTGTGTCCGTCTGTCCGTCTGTCCGTCCGCCCGTCTGTCTGCCGTCCCGGATTTATATTAGACAGATAATTTCCGAAAGTACTGGACCGATTGTTGTGAAATTTTGTACTTATATTGCGAATATCATGTAGATGGTAAAACGCTAACCAAAATTTGTCTAATCATCCCCACCACTAATGCGATGACGTCACTTCAAATTGTACATAGTAAATGGGTTTTAAATTGTATAAAATAACATAGTCCTACACATGTAGTTTACAACTCCGAATTGACTTTTCACCCGAAACGTCCAGATTTTTGGAAAAAAAATCAAAATTATAAAACAACATTTTGAAATCTAATTTTGAATCTGCTAAATGTTGCAGGTGTTTTAAGGCTATAAAGAGCATCATAAATCTATAGTCAAAAAATATTTGCTTATCCCCTCCAAAAACTTGATGACGTCAGCTCAAAAGTTTGCGGAATAAATCATATATAAAATGTACAAAATATGATGAGTCTGTACTTGTGATCTATCACTCCATTAATATTTTTTGGATTTGCATATACAGGGTGACTCAAAAAAATTAATGAATGCGTAAATTTATTTTACTGATTTACTCAGGAACTACAAAACCGAATGCTTTGAAATCTTCCAGATGTTTTAAGTTTATAAAAAGCATAATAAATGTTTAGTCAAAATATATTTGCTTATCCCCTCCAAAAAATTGATGACGTCAGCTCGAAAGCTTGCCGAATAAATCCTATCTAAACTGTAAAAATTTGATGAGTCTGTACTTGTAATTTATCACTCCATTCACATTTTTTGGATTTGCATATACAGAATGACTCAAAAAAATTAATGAATGCGTAAATATATTTTATTGATTTAATCAGGAACTACAAAACCGAATGCTCCGAAATTTTGCAGATGTTTTAAGGTTATAAAGAGCATAATAAATGTTTAGTCAAAATATATTTGCTTCTCCCCTCCAAAAACTTGATGACGTCAGCTCGAAAGTTTGCCGAATAAATCATATCTAAAATGTACAAAATATGATCAGTCTGTACTTGTGATCTATCGCTCCATTCATATTTTTTGGATTTGCATATACAGGGTGATTTTTTTAACTACAAAACCGAATGCTTTGAAATCTTGAAGATGTTTTAAAATTATCATAAGCATGGTAAATTTTTGATCGTCACCCCTAAAAAATTTATGACGTCACCACAATATTTTGCTGAATAAAATCCTATCTAAACTGTGCAAAAAATGATGAGTCTGTACTTGTGATTTATCACTCCAATGATTTTTTTTGGATTTGCATATACAGGGTGACTCAAAAAAATTAATGAATGCGTAAATTTATTTTATTGATTTACTCAGGAACTACAAAACCGAATTCTTTGAAATCCACTGCGAAAAAAAAACATAATAGGCATGCAGTCGTCACGTTTCCGATAGCGAGGGAAGTACTGTCTAAACTCTTTAGACCAATTTTTTTGCATTTCCTGTGAAAATTTGCCATAGTAGTGTATATTTTTTTACAACATCAGAAAGTAACGATTTCAACTGAAATTCTATTTGTGTTGGTCGTCATGCAGAAATATAAATGATTTGATTGAATAATTGGTTTACATTGCAACAGAAATTGATAGAACTAAGGTAGGTGTTGGGAATAGCACCAAAGAGTGAAAAGAATATTATGGCAGGCATAAATCCACTACCTCTAAGCGAAATTATTTAAATTTTAAAATTTTCTCACCCAGTAATTGCAAACTTCTGGGGTTCCTTAATGCTGGCAAGTGTAGTATTTTTCATCTCTGTCCAGCCAACACTAATGAATACACCAGTTCTGCTTCCTTTCAGTTCTAACGGATTTACTCCAGCATCCATCACAGCTTCAATAACCGTTTCCATTAAAATTCTCAAACCTGGGTCCATATTATCAGCTTGACGAGGATGTATTCCAAAATATCCAGCATCAAATTTGTTAATATTATTAATATTGCCGCTTCTTTTTGGGACGTCGTGACGATCAAGTTTCCACCTTTTATCATTTTCAGTAACCATGTCCTTTTTGCTGAAGAGATTATCTTGAAACTCGTAAATATTATCTGATTCCGGAAAACGACCGGACATGCCTGTTATAACTACTTCTTCGCCAGGTAATGGAGACGATAACCAGTGACCATATTGATAATTAGGGTTGATCAATTCTTTTTTTACATCTTCAGTTAAACCCATTGTCATGAACAAAGTAGCTATCACTAAAGCAACAATGTTAACTATTTAACAATAACAAAAATTATAAGAAAACTATTGAAGAACAAGAAAGAATAATAATCGTCAACTGTTGCACTAGTAACTATAGAAGAACAGCGAAGGAAATAATGATGGACTCTTTTGGTGGGTGCACATACATATTTATCGGTTGTGCAGCGGAAATAAAATTAATTTGAATATTTGCATTGCCATATTCATGCAATGTAGGTACATTTTTTCCAAATATGCGCCCGTTACTTTAATAATAAATGCAAAAACATAGAAGTATATTGTTTTAGCCACTGCATCATTTAAATACAATGGTAAAGTTGTCTGTTGACCTTCCTACGTCTCAAAGAAGTTGAAATCTTTAGTGTAAACAAAAAAAAGTTTAAATTTATGCACATTATGTTCATTCACTTTTTGCTTCCCGAGCGTAAACTAAGAAAATATTAGTAATAGTAGTAGTAGGAAATCGAGTCCATCGAGAGAATTACTACGTTCATATTTTCTAGACGTGGCATGAGCTCTAGAAGTCTAGAATACGAAAAACGTGGTGTCCCATTTCCGTCAGTCTTGCCTGTCTTGTCTGTCTGTCTGTCGTCTGTATCCATTTTTGTTAGAGACGTAATCTCCGAAACTATCCGACCGATTGTTGTCACGTTTTGTATGTGCGTTAGGAATATCACGTAGATGACCTTAACCAAAATTTCTCTAATCATCCCCATCAACAACATGATCATTCCCTCAAATTTTTTAACAATAAATATTTTTTTTATTTTATAAAATCATATACTCCTACACTCCCCATTTAGTTTTATTTACAACTGCTTTACAAAAATGTTTCTGCAATATTCGCTGCGTGTTGTTTATAACCATTGACCTATTTTATTACCGATACCTCGCGCGCGTGCGAACAACTGCGTTGTAGCTGCTTAATGTGACTCGATCTTAAAATGCGTGGCAAATAGTAACTTTTATGAAATAGAAATATATATTTGTCCCATTACGTTTCTTGTTTTTGACAGCTGGTATTTTTTGCTTCCAGTATGGCGATAATGTTACTGTCATTTGGCTGTCAAAATTCATACCGGTAACATGTCCTCCACGATTGGTTGCCGCTTTCGCATTGTATAGGGCTGGAGTTGGTTTTATGAAATAGTGTTCTTTTCGGTCCGTTGACTCGATAATTCTGGTACAACCTCAAATCGTAAACAGCAAACTTTCTTTAACAGGTCCTACATAAATAAAATTACTAGTCTTCCGCTATCTTTGTCTAGCACTTCTCTGGCGAACTCCGGGCACAGGCAATTTGCCGTACTTTCTCAAAGTAATAATAGATCTAGTGACTTTATAGCTGCTTGGGTTGAAGCGCCACGAGGTGACTAATTTTTATTTTCCAAGCGTTCGAAAAAAACTACATTCACAATGACCTAATAATAATTAACATTTAAATTAGCTTAATACAGAACGTTTTGAAATGACGTCATCAAATTGTTTGTGGAGGTGACTAGCAACATTTTGGTTAGCGTTTTACCTTCTACATGGTATTCTTAATACGCGTACAAAATTCGACAACAATCGATCCAGTAGTTTTGGAGATTGTCTGTCTAATAAATATCGACACAAACGACAGACAGACAGACGGAAACGGTAGATCACTTTTTGTGAATTCTAGGGTGTTGAAAATTCTATATACTTGCATTGTATAAAATATTTATTATCTAAGTCGGTGAGGAAATGACCATAAACCCTTGTTTAGACCACCTAGACTGTATGTATATCGACTACCTCTATATAGGCGGCATGTATTTCATAGCCAAGATGAACAAAATTGGAAAAAGACACCGAGTTAAATCGAAAGGGAGTTAATTATTAGGGTTCGGATTTTAGGTCGTTAAAAAATGAATAAAAGGAGACATTTTTAGGTCCCAAAATTGACGAATTAGGTTATAAAAATCTGAGTTTAGGTTAAAAACCTGGAGGACAAAATATTTGCTCAACGAAAAAGCATACATCAAAAAAATAGGTATATATATTAAAAAAAAAACATTAAACAAAGCATTATAGAAACAAATATTTTGTGTAACAAAAAAAATAAATAAATAAATAAATAAACGATATATAGTTACTTCCACTAATTACAAGTTATTGCAAAAAAATGATGATCAAATTAAAGCAAGTCGCATTTAACAAAAACTAAAATGTTAATTCAGGTATTTAAAATGAGTTACAAAAGCAAACTATATATTTCTCTAAATTAAATACTGAACAATCTACGTTTTCATTTATGTAGGGGAAAGTCCCCTCATTCGGACCTAGTCGGACATTTTTTCAATTAAAACCAAAATGTAATACGATATTAACTTATCTAGTGTTGAGCCATTAACTTTGACATGTTTTCAATGTTTGGTAATTTTTTTAGAATTTTTTGAAACATCCAAATTGGTTAAAAAAATAATTTTTGAAGGTCTGCAAGTGGTCCAAAATAGGAGACTGGGTTCCTAAATTGGACCACTATATTCTTGAATTGGACCACCAGTTCTTAAATTGGACCTTCTTGGTAAAAATGCATAAAATGAACATAATTTTATTTAAAATGTGAAAAAAAATACGTTCATATATGCTAAAAAAGTCTGTAACATTTTCCCTGTTGAAACCCTTCGCCCGAGCCATGGATGTTTTTTCTGGTAATCGAAGTGATAGTTCGGGATGTCTTCTAATGAAATTGTAATACCATTTTTTCCAGCACGTTGTAGAGTATTGTTAAATCTGTGGTATATTTTGTTTTTCTCCACCAATTGATATGCAAGGTTCATCACATCTCGTCTGGTGATTCCAAAAAAGCAAGCTTCTAACCTAAGGACGTGTTCCAATAAATCAGCTTCTAATTCGGCAGGCAACGTTGTAATCACCCCGGCGCGTTTCGTACTGCCCTTAATGTGTTTGTTACTATCTGACAAACGTCTTTTAAATGTGGCTTTTGGCACATTAAATTGCCGACAACATTCGTTCAACCCTAGTTGATTTTTACGAAAAGCAGTTAGTGCGTTATCCATGTTCTCTTCGCTCCATTTATAATACTTCTTTTTTGCTTGTTTTTCCGCATCCATCTAGTATAAAATCATAGTTAATAGATTATAACAAGAAAATTTATTATTGGGCATTGTAATACGAAGTTCTAAAATTACGCGCCTAGATACTGTGACGTGATTGGTCAAATCGGGAGTTCCTTCAATTAGACCGGTCCAAATAAGGAGAATCTAAGGTGGTCCAATTTACGCGCTGGTACAAAATTTACTATTTTCTTGTGTTAAAACGCTATAACGAAGTAAAACATATTTATTTCTAGGTTAGGTTCTTAATTTTATTACGCATATCCTTACAAAAACATGCGAAAAGTTGTATCACAATGGTAGCAAAACTTCTTTGCAATTTAACAAGCAGACACTTACCGCTACAGAATGGAATTTTGCACAACACTGCTTTGGCGCCAAATACTTTCGAATAATATGCACTAGATGTCGGCAATTATTCTAGATTTTAAAAAAATAGGGTGGTTCAATTCAGGCACTGGTCCAATAAGGGGGACTTTCCCCTAAATTGTGATTATTATGAACTTCAGGATTTATATGAAGGTTTATGTCATTCTGTACATTTTCTGAATTATGTGAGGTTCTGTCTATTTCAGCCTTGTTTTCAGTACTAACGGTTGATGGAATATTTGTGTCAGTTAACAAGTTTTTAGCAATATTTACTTTATTTCCAATTGAATTTTCAATATATGTCTCCGCAACTTTTGTCGATTTCCATCCACCGAGTCGTTTAATTGCAGCAAAATCTGCACCTGAATCAGACAAGATTCAAGCAGATGATCTACGCAAACAATGACCAGTGTATAAATGGGGCTGTTCCAATTTTAGAAATTTTGCAACTCGGGAGGGTAATTTGGAAAATGTGTTAATGCCAACTGGCTGTATAGTGCATTTATTGTTTCTGTAATAAGTAAAAAATCGTGTATTTGGTCTCAGAGATATGTATTGTCTAATTAGTTTTAAATAAGTATTTTCCTTATTATCCACAATCACAAATGTTCGTTTTTCTTTCGTATTTGTTTTTGATGCTGCAATCGTCACTAAAAATTTTGATTGTAGGTCCTCAACATCACTGATTTCTAATTGTAAAAGTTCATGTTTTCTTAAAGCTCCGGCTATACCAAATATTAGTGCAACTTCTAACGTGAAACGTTGTTACAAGTTTAAATTTCGTCATTGGCTTACCTTGGTCATTAAAAACAAATTGTTGGGCGCATCAGAAATAAATCGTTGGATCTGTTCTTTTTCTAAGACCTTTGATTTTTTAGGCACATATCCTTCAGTTTGCCTCTTGATGAACATACCTAATTAGTAATTAACTTGTTAAATTTTCCAATGTCAATATCCTGTTGAACACTGAGAATTGCTTTTAACATTGAGAAATTTGGCCATAGACTTGCTGTTAAGCCACCACAGGTTCTGTATAATTTGTGATATTTTGTTCTGCACACCAAATATAAAACTCATTATAGGTTTTTTCGTACAGCCATCGGCTTTTTGCTGGCAACAAACTTGCACAGGCACTTTTCGCACTTTCCAGAACTGCCGTTGGTAGTTTTTCCGCGTTTTCCGACTGCATAATTACAGAATTACCAAAATTCACGATTTTACTGCAGTTTTGACACAATGGCGAATTGTTGTTTATTACACTCTCAATTATTTGCCGCGGTGACTATAGCAAAGTAGTTAGAATTTTGTAAATTGAAATTTCAGAAAGATTTTTGTTTCTATTTTTAAACTTCGTGCTCGATGAAAAAATATTGTAATCAACTCGAATGTTAATAGGCGATTAATAATTTCGACATCCTTCTCCGAAATTTCCCAAAAAGGCTCAATAGCACGCTTATGGCCAAAGTATTTTATGCTTCGATCCACTTTATGCATCCGTCATGATTTGGACATATCCAACTAATGTTTTAGTCATAAAAGTTTTATTTGTATGTTTGGTTGCATAACTCATATTTTTTA